GCTGGTACAGCAGCAGCTGCTGCTGGTGGTACAGCTGCTGTTACAGCTGCTGCTGCGCCTGTAATGCTGCCATTGCTCCCGTGAAGCTGTTCCGTGCTGCTGCTTGCATGCTGCTACGTGAGTGCTGCTGCATACTTTCTCCAGAGATCAGTGGACCTTAATGGAGGCGAAACTTCTCGTCCTAAGAGCGGCGTGCCGGCCTTTTCCGGTGTCCGTCTATGCAGTAGGCAACCACTCTCCCCTCTGCATCACTAGACAGCACCACCTGAGTCGATACTGAGCCCGAAGGAGGCTTTTGAATGCACCTGCAGCAGCTTTGGCCTAAAATATCTTTCGGAGGAGCAAACTGCGTCTGCTGCTTCCCTCACTTTTAATCCATGCAGACGTCAGACCGGAAAAGAAGACCTGCTCGATCACCCAGCGCTGTCCACGACGGCTTGCTATGGTCTAACGGCAGCAGGACGTCGCGAACGCGCCGTTGTCAGCTTTCGAAGTTGGGAAAGCAGTCTTGAAACTTGTTTTTGGGGTGTTTAGAGTCGATGTGCTGCTCGAGGGTTGGGCGCTTGATCGTGCACATGAAGGTCTGTCTGCATATCTCGCAAACAACATTGAGATCCTTATCACGAGACTTCAAAGTGGAATTCTGAACGCCTCGCTGATTGCGACGCTGCGCTCTCTCGCGGTCTACATCCCGTTGGTTACCACGCGTCATGGTGAACGTCGGGCGGGAGTTGCGAGGCGGAAACCCAGAAGAAAGCGAAGGAAGGCAAAGGCTAACAGCAGCAAGTCCTGGTGCTGAAAGACACCGGCGCCCTTTGCGATGTTCTGCATAACAATTTTCGGGCGAGTAATGCTCTATTCCGCTCCTTCAGTTGGTGGCGGCCGGAAGCGTCACTGTAGTGCACAGGCACTACAATGGGGCTTTGGTATGATCCCTAGTAGCTCACTAACCCTAAAGAGAATGATTAGGACATTAGGAATTAAGAAATGGAATTAGTGCTGTAATTGGTTCAAAGAATTGAGTACCGTAGGTGGAGCCTTAGGATTGTAGGATTACCCCGCCAGCTACCACTAGGGCAGCGTAGCGCAATACCTAGTCACTACTTGGGTACCAGTTAGGCCTCGTTAGATATCTAAGTGAAATAGAATTAGTATTATACATATAAATACGACTTTGGTGGATAGCAGTTATACGTCAGGCACCTGACTGTCTCGTCTCTGTTGATATCAACCCCTCGGCATCCGATAGGTTGGGCGCTGGCACCCAGTCACTGGGTTTAATTCGTAAGAGTTCTATTATTCTGGGAATTTCCCGTGTTTATAATAGAGACTCGAACATCATTTGGAATTTAAAGTACTAACTTCTGGGAAATTATGTAGTTAGAGGTTGTACTTAGGAAGCCCGGCACAACGAGATACGAGTAGGCCCAGCTCAGGACGGCTACGCATTACATTTGGGGGCTGTTCCGTTCCAACCCAGTGACCCCTCCGCTCTATCGGCATGCATAATAACCAGCAACCGCAGCACAAGACAGATCGGGGTTGTGCCAGGATACGCGGGAACACCGTGTGGATAGGGCAATGGGGCTCAACGCCGGCGCGAGAAACCCAATGCAGACTTCATTAGATGATCACCTGGGGGTGTCAACACGTCGGAGGGATTTTTTCAGGACAATTAGCGCCAATATCCCACCTGACAATGGGATGAATATGTTGAACTTCCTTTGTCACAGAGTTGGCGTCTATTGACACCGGATTACCAGCGGAACACCGGGGACACGAACTGCGAGCGCACTTGACCGGAGATGCTCTAAATTAGTTGTTCTACCTATTTGATTCCCGGGAACCTACCGGCAACTGGGAAATTCTCAAACGCTCTATGCTGGATAGATTCTGCGGGGCCTTCCGCGACGAAATAGTCTCGCGAATAGCTCATATTAGGTGGAAGAACAGTGCAGCACAGTATGTCGCTGAGTTCGCATCTGCACTATGTAGGGGAGAACCTTTGCCGCAGGACCAGCTAGTGACGATTTTTTTAGCGAATCTGCCAGATGACATTGTGATGAGGATGACAAATGCGGGCCATGCCAATTGCACAATGAGGGAGGCAGCCGCGGCAGAGTTGCGTAAGACTTTAGGATCTTGGGATGAGACATTGAACCAACTGCGGCAAGCTAGGCACTACTTGCAGCAAACCCTTCAGCAGAGTCGGGGTGGGGCCCCGAGGTTGCCTCGCAAGGTCCCTTTCGTCAAGAGGCTTTCCGTCGTACAAGGGACGATGTATACTCGGAACCACAGTCAAGAAGCCAAGGTCATCTGTGAATTACAGTCACCCATGCAACGAAGCAGGAGTTGGCTTGCGCATCTGCACTGCGGAATTCCCTACCGAAAAAACCGTGTTCTCACAACTCACTCTATTCTATTTGTCTCAACAATATCAAATCTTTTTTTATGAGATAATTACTAGTAAATTCGCTCTGGAAGCAGGTTAAACTGTGAAGCCCCGCCTTACACAACTCGTTTCCGTTAGGTTGTTGGTGCCCTGCTCCGTTCGCAACGTACGTCCGCTGGCTTTAGTATTAGCTTTGCCTCGATTGAATTAATTTAACATATAAGCACTTTGTGTTGTAGGGCTTACTAGGCCTTAGTAGACCGCCTCCACACAGCCAGAAGTCCTCAAGAATTCCCAATAGGTTAGTGCATCAGGCAGAGCGGGCTAGGTGCTGCTTGCACGTGCTTGCACCTCCGGTTGCAGTAAGATGCGCTGCAACTATTGTCAGGATGCCTGTGCTTCCGGAAACCCAGGTGCTCGGGATGTTGTGTGAAGGATGCCTGTAGACTGGGGAATAAGGTCAGCTGCGTGTACTAAACGCTTCTCGTAAATGGGTCGAATTCGTTGCAACTTGCGACGCCCCTTGAACAATACCTGGAACAATCGTTGCATTTATATTGTCTAAGAATCGTCGCTAAGAGCAGGAGAGCAACACACGTTGTTGCTGTTGCAGTAGGAACAACCTGCAACAGCAACAGCAGCAGCAACACGACCACCAGCACAGCCACCGGCAGCACCACCCCAGCCACCAACACAACCACCTGCAGCACCACTACAAGGAGCAGCAGCATCAGCAGGGAGGGTAGTTCAATTAAATGCAACTAACCTCTTCTCCATCTTCTGCCCAGCGGTAGAATTGCTCGACACTTCGTGGTACGTAAGAGAGGCGTCTTCTCATGAGCTGCAGTGCACCATGCTGCAAGTATTACGTCCAGAAGGTCACATGCAGACTCAACCACCAACGTCTGACAGACCATGTTAAGTCTCTCCCCATCTTTACCCAGCAGACGTTTTCAAGTTCCGGAAGGCCCACACAAAAATTGGTGAGCTGCATTCGTTTCTTGCGCAGCGCTTATTGCTGTTGCAGCCTATGCCGTTTCTCTTATACGAAGCAACCGTTGACTACTCGCCCGATTTGGGGAGTTATAGTCCGGGGAGGAGTCCTATTGCCCTGGCTGCTAATCGAACCGTTTTTTCAGAATATAGGTCAGCCAGTCTGGGCATGACCCAGCAGACTGAACATGACGTATCTCACCACAAGAGTGACGAAGACAGTACCAGTAGGCAGGGATCCTCAACGCCGCTTGAGCGATCACTAATCAGAAAGGTGAATAGATCGTTTAGGAGAGGTCACCTCTATCGAGCATCGCATCGTTGGCCTTGCCCACGTCGACAAGAGTGGGGTGTGATACTGTTCGCTCCAGGAAGGCAAGGCAAGCAGGTGACGCCTACGGCCTTACGTAGTACTTTTAAGGGTTTCGGCAGGTTAGGGAAGCCCACTTGCTTATGGCAGAAAATTGAGGGTTTGACGTTTAGGGCATAAGGTTTGTCCAGGGCACAGGACTAGAAGCAAGTCTCGTTTTGTAACTCTGATCAAACCCACCCAATTAGCGGGATTATTCATGCGCAGTTTAAATGCATGTTGTCTCTGCATTCTAGAGTTTCTCTTGGGGTTACCCTGCCTCGATCCGCTTGTCTACTCAACTCAATTTGTGTTGCGGTACACCTGACCGCCTCCTTGCTCTGGACGTTCGCTCCCCATTTTTAATTGTACCCTAGACTGGCGGTGTTGACAAGCCTGTCTGCAGTTGGCGCGTGAACTGTTACTTTGCCCTAACAGATGACGGTAGGCAATCAAAAGTTCTCGATAGCTGTACACATTGGTTGTGCATACGCCCCATATCGCTTGAGTCTGCGTGCGTTTGGAGTTGTCTTGCATCCTTAGCGGCATCAAGATGCGTTTCAGCTCGTGGCAGGCCGCCTACATTCCTGCAGCTACAGGCACTTGAGCCGCTAAAAGCTCAGGACGACTGGTTACGGAGGTTAGTTGTGTTGGAGAAAATCTCACCTTAAGTATGTTCGCTCTTTTGTACGTCATAACACTACTTTGGTAAGACCCAAGATCCACGCTGTATTAATGTGACACATCCGATTTGTTTTGTTGGAAACGACAGGACGCGCTTCCAGGCGGAGTCATGAGTACTGACAAAACAACAAGCTGGCGTTCGCTTGCTGGTCTTAGTATTAAGTACTAAGACCAGCAAGCGAACGCCAGCTTGTTGTTTTGTCAGGAGTACATATATATTGTGGCCGCGTGCATCATGAATGTATGCAGAACATGTGAATATATGTTGCATATATGTTTCACGCACGTTTAGGTGACATACGTAGTAACGGTGAAGTCCAGCCGTTCACTACAGCGCTTAGCCATTGTGTTGACAGTCGCAGCTCCGGCTTAGTTAATTGCTCTCCCCCACAAATTTAATTACAGAACACCCACTAAAATTCAACTTTTAAATAAGGGTAAATTGGGAGACACCAATTACACCAATTCTTAGTTTGTAGAACGCTGTTACAGCTGCCGCTTGCGCTCCATCAGCTGGAGGGACTAGGCGCAAAAAAAGTAAATGCAGACCTAGTTGGCTTGAACAGCAAATTCAAGGGGAAAATGAGGAAAGTGTAATTAATTAATCAAAATTCCAGGAGAAATGAACGGTCGGAATACGCACCATCAACGGCGAGCCTCAGGTCTACCGCAAGCCAGTATATGTGTATCTAGGGCGAGACAAATAATTGTCTGTGTGCTTCTGCATTACTTAATTGCTTTCCATGTTTTCTCCCGTGTGTTCTTTTTGCCAGTGAAGTGTTCGACGAGCTAACTGGCAATTCGCAGCTGAATTTTAGGATTTCGTCAGCGCCTGCCCAGTCCGCTGCACCAGCCCCGACCAGCGACATAAGGTGAGGCGGAGGGGGAGCAAGAGGCGTTTTTCGCTCTCTCTTTGCATGCACTTGGCTTTTAAAATCGCTTTATGACTCTGGAGTATTTGCAAGACACGTTTCAAGTGTTTTCAACTCCTAGCAGGGAAGACAGATCCAACCAGCGGTCCTCTGCCCGACAGAACCACTCGATGGCGCTCGTTTCCTGACTACGATTTACGCAGAAGCCTTGTTTTATCTTCTAAACTTTAGACACATAAAATCAGATTATAATTAATTATTGCTTTAGCCTATCAGCTACTAGCCTATCGGACGTGAGGCGGCCACAGGCAAGGCTTTCGGTGCAGCTTCTACGCTGTCTCGGGCTGAGACTCTGAGAGGCAAAACGCAGCAGAGTGCACAGTCTGAAGGCACATGCTTGGGGAGGAGCCTTCGCAGCAGCGTTTTCGCTGCTTTCCTTCTTTTGTTACTTCTTCGAGACCTTAACGGGAAGGAGGAATGTGGGGGCACAAGGCACGCACGCGGCCGTGGCTGATACTGGCCGCTGTCCTTCTTACTGGCAGCGGCATCACCAGCAGCTGCTACAGCGCGACAGCAGCTCCCCTCTCACGTGAAGCTGCAGAAGCAGCTCCACGTCACCGGATGTCTGCAGCCCTTGGGGCCTCTGTGCACCGCGATTTCAGTTCGCCCTCTGCCTTCTCCCTAGCCCAGGAGAAGGAGCAGCAAAGGCAGCATATGCAAACAGCAGCAGATGCCGCTTTAAAAGACCAGGAGCACCTGCATGAAGCTGGGCGCCTCAGGAAAAGAAGCAGCGGGGGCGTTGGGAGTCTATCAGCCGATGCACTCGCTGCTGAAGTCGAAGAGGAGGCTCTGCATGGCACTGCTACAGACGAGGTTGGTCCGTTGGAGGGTGAAAAAGGCATGCAAGAAGGCCTATCAGGGAGTCCAGATGCAAAAAAGGATACAACAGCCTTCCCTCTTGGCCTGTCGCATCTTCAAGTGGGAGCGAAGCAGATATTCGATCAGCTGTTGACCGGTATGCTGGGAACAGGAGTTAATTTAATTCAGGGACGCGCAATGGGTCAAGCACAGCCAGCCACGATGATGGCGCCTGCCGCATTGCCTTATGGGCCTACTCCAGCTTACTACGCGCAGCCAGAGACAGGCCTTTCCACTGTAGAGATCGTTTTAATCATTGCGGGCAGCATCTTGGCGGTGGGCCTTATAGGCCTTCTCGTTTGGGTTGCCACATCAAAGAAAAGGCACAGGAGATGAGAAATGCAAACCTACAACTCCACCGTCCGTCTTTCTTTCTTACCCCCGTGTCCTGTGGTGACCCAGTATATTTAGATACAAAAGCAACACACCACATAAGGCAACTCTTAAGCATCCGGCAGTACAAGACAACAGCACGCCGAACCAAAAGAAACGGAGTACTAACGACACACGAAGGTTTTATGCAAAGAGGCGTCGGTGAAATGTATATATATATATATTATATATAT